GGAACCGCTTTCATCGCCGGTATTCGCAGATACTGCGAACATCTGAGACAGATTAATCATTTTTCACAGTGCAGCTGTATTCTTATAAAAACGCCGGAGCCTGGTTTGAGAGCTGTTCCAGACCGGACGGACGGTGTAGAATCACGCTGATTTGTTGACGCCTTCAATGTCGCTAAGAATTCTCAATAATTGGTCTCTAATGACTCCAGAGGCGCATGACTATAAACCTCTATATCTATCCTATCACAGTTGATTTGTCGAGCTGAGTAATTCAGCGACAAGTAAAATATTGCCGAGTATCACCAGACTTGCGTCTACTTCAACGCCGCGTATAGCATAGCAACGCACTCAAATTTAACAGGAACCATCTTTCGAGCGACTAGACTAGAGTTGCAATCGCGTATTTTAATACTATGATGCTACATTTTTACGGAGTATAATTACAGCAGTCCTTCTAGCATTAAGGCCACGCGCCACGCACGCTCGGCAATTAAACTATAAGACAGCTAACTCTCAATTATTCAAGTATTTCGACAGTTTCGCTTCGAAAAAATTTTTTTAATAAAGCTCTCAAAGAAGTTAGTTCTCTACGGTTTAGACACGAGGCAAATTTAGGTGCAGTACTAAACTGCCTGTTTGAACGTTCGTTATATACCAATCTATTGACCTATTTTCAGGTGAATACGAGATTTATTACGCGAGACGGGTGATATTTCCCGGAGAGCCGGAGGCGAGGGAAATATCACCTTCGAGGGGTTAATAAATCCTCGTATTCACCTGAAATAGGTCAAATAACCTGTTTTTATTATAATGACATCTTTTTAAACTTAACCATGTGTGGGGCAGCCAATCATACTTAGTTTGTAAGCTGGTCATCGAAACAGTTCAATCTGTCAAGCCGTGTAACGGCGAAATTTCTCTGACTTGCGAAGTATCGAGATGCCCCGCCCTCCCTATGATATACATCATAGGATGCGTTTGCGCATGCGCACTTCGCTATATGCTCACTATGGCAATTTCCACTCAGGCAAGACACCAGCTGGGTGGAGCGAGGAGGAGGG